GAGTCGTTATCAAGGAGCATATCTCGTAAACGTATCCCCAGATTCAATTGGCTTGAAATCCTGTCCATGCTAATCAGGGAACTAGTCCCCCCGCACTCGAATGGGGCTATGTCTGACATAGGGTCTTCGACCTCAAAGGAAAAAGCCGAGGGTCCAGGATTCCATGGTGTGTGACTCGGTCCGCTATGAACGTAAGCTTCTGGTGGTCTATCTTGTGCTGTTCGCACTTGGCCAGACGTATGCGACGCCGTGGTCCTTGGCAACTCCTCTCGTGTTGGAAATAAGTTGTGGTCATGTTTGTATGTATTTGGTGGGTGGCGTCGTGTCAACGATTATCTGATAGCCACTGTCACGCTCTGGATCCTAGCTATCAATCGGACACTAAGCTTCGTCGGGCAACCTGGATACTGTATATCCCCCTTTGAGCTGACAGTATTCATTCTTAGGTCTTGTGGTATCCCAATTGGAGTTAGAGTGTAGTCATTGGCAGGGTCAACGACTCACTGCATGAATTCCCCGCTTTCCCTGCAGGTTTTTTTGCTGCACTCACGCGAACTATGCCGTCTGCGAGCCTCCCTTTTGACAGACATGAACTTTGTATCTACAAGGTATGGTACGATTTATATTCAACCAGCTAACAAGGCCAATCTTACCAATCTGCCTCAACGGTATTACAAGGCTCGAACGGATCTGAATAGGTCTTATTGTCTCGCGCGCCGTCCGAGTACAATCCTTGCGGGGAAAAAATCACCCATCTCGGCGGAGTTTCAATTTTTTTGCTGATTGGACCTAGAGAGTTGAGCTATTTCAGCAACTGTTTTTTTGCTGAAAACGCCAGACAAAAATCTTCTCCCTTAGCTGTTCTGTCAGGTGTGCGGCGAGGCCCTGTAACAGGTCACAGGGCAAACATATTTGAATATTCAAGCAGTGGTGAGCACAAATATATACAAACACGATGTGTCCAAATCAAGGACTGAACATTTTTTAATGCAATGCACTGTACTTAACGGACGACAAAGTGAGGCACCTAGGACACGCGGCAAGTACTATATATTGCTTTCATTTTGGCGTAGCTGGCTGTGTATACCATCAACATTCTCATTTCCTCTTAATTGCAGGACTTATACTTTGAAAGTCGTGGTGAGAAAATACTTCAAAGTCCTTCCCTCGGAACATCTTACAAAGGTCAGAAGACTAGAGCATAATCACTTGACACGTAATGTATGGAAAGGTGACTACATTGACTTGGATAGCCATCCCTTCCTATTATTAAATCGACTTCATCTCCCACTAACCGGTTATCCGAAATTCCGTGGTAAGACAGCAGCTCTGGATGATTGCAATCTAGAATGTAAATCTCGACAACCCACCCAGGTCGTTTGGATTCGGGGGTCTTCCTCGGTCAGCGGCTATATGAAACGGATACAACGTTGGGCTTCTATTAGTCATGCCACCCTATCGGCCAAATTGTCCGACATACTATAGTTGGTGGAGTCCTCCCATCCGGCATGTTCTTATCATCGGCATTGGCAAAAAAATGTTCGCTTTCTGGCGCTCGCGTTATCCATGAACCGTCTATAAAATCATACACTGCCATATAATCTTCAACTCGTACATCCGACATTTTACAACCCATGGCAGAGAGCCAGAGTACGAACTTGTCACTTTCAGGGGTCCGGAATGTGGAATTTCATACTGATATCCAGACGCACTCCCCTAGTTCAACATTATCAAATGAACCCATTAAGCTCGACATAGAGCATGCAGTGGTTGAGGATGATCCTCGAATATGGTCAAACGCGAAAAAAAGTGAGTTTTTCTATCTTAATATGTAAGTAGGAATTTGTTGAACACAATTACAGACCGCTATATTGTTCATTATATCTGGAGCCTCGATGTTTGCAGGTTTGGCGGTGAACATACAAAACCGTAGGTTGCGTCCGTGAACTTGTTGTATCCGATATTGGGTGAACAGCCAGGGAACAGCCGCCAATGCTCAAATCGAGCAACAGCTTCACGCCAGCAGCGGAGATATCAGCCTGAGTTTGTCTCTGTTCATTCTCGTTCAAGGCAATTTTCCTGTCATTTGGAGTGCAATCAGCGAGATAAAGGGCCGCAAGGTTTGTATTTATAACTACCTTCAGGATGTCGTTTATTCATATGACCGAGCCCAGTTCGTGTACCTACTATCCATCGCACTTTTTATAATCGGATCTGCTATCGTGGCCGTGTCAAGAACTATTGGTTTGGTGATTGGCATGCGAATTGTGCAAGCCGCAGGGTAGGACAGTTCCTTAATCCCTCTTGTCCGTGCTCACTTGGAGTAGGTCAAGCGCAGTTTTCGCTATCGGAGCTGCCACTCTGGCTGATATATACGAGCCGCATCAACGAGGTACAATGATGGGTGTCTACTATTCTGCACCTCTTCTCGGTCCCTCTTTAGGACCAATCTTTGGTGGTGCACTCACGCAGGGCCTCAGCTGGCGGGCGGTTTTCTGGTTCTTAGTCATCTGGGGAGGCATAATCTTTTTGGCGTTCCTTTTCTTGTTCAAGGACACCTTCAGGAAGGAGCGGAGTGTGACTTACCAAAACGTATTGAATTCCAGACTCCGAGAGCAGCGGTCATCGGGAGCAAAGGACGAGTCGCGAAATATTTCCAAGTCAGAAGTAGGTGGAGAAAACCAGACGACTTTGAAAGATGTCGAAGCACAGCGGATGGTTATACCAACACCAGCCATTAAAGACATAACACTGTCTATGGCTGATGTTAACCCTTTCCCTGCATACTTCTCGATTGTCAGCCGCAAGAACAACCTTTTTATCTTGATAGCATCAGGTGCGTGCCCCCATTTCTTACTGAAAACTATTTTTATGCCCTCTTGCGCCAGGCTTAACCTTTGCGTTTAGCTTCAGTGTTACGTATACATGTGCGAGAACATTGTCGATGTATTATGATTATGATGCATTGAAGACCGGCCTTGTTTTGCTTGCCTATGGTGTTGGTGAGTGAATTACAAGAAAACCGGGAACACCTGCCTGACGCATCTACTTATCCCAGGCTGTGTAGCCGGCAGCACATTGGGTGGCCGTTGGTCCGATCGGACCCTTGCTCGGCTAAAGGCCGCAAACGGAGGGGCCAGCTTTCCAGAGGTGAACATTGAACCACTAACTCTAGCTCAGCATGTGGCTGACGCCAATCCATGCAGATGCGCCTCGAGAGCACCAAAATCGCCATGTTGTGGTCACCTTTATCTGTCATTGGATACGCCTGGGTGTGCCAAGAACGAGTCAATATCGCCGCTGTGTGTGTGATGCTGTTCTTTGCAGGATTTCTATCCATGTACGTTCACTCCGCTTTATATTATATTTTGCTCTCATCCACGATAGTTGGATCTACACAAGCACACTGGCATACATTGTTGACGCAAACATTGGTCGCTCATCAATGGCAGTAGCGACGAATAGTTCCTTCCGTGGTCTGTTTGCTTTTGTCGCTGTCGAGATTGCGATTCCTTTACAAGTGAGTCAAGGTCATAACAGCTCGCAGAAGGCCAGATCTGAGGTTAGTATAGGACACAATCGGCGACGGTGGTCTGTATACTCTCTGGGCAAGTTTGATTGTCGTCGCTGAGTGCATGATTCTGCTGGTATTGTACAAAGGACGGAACTGGAGAGAAGCCAGTGTTGAACGGGAGAAGCAGAAGCTAGATGCCAAGTAAGGAGTAAATGATCATCTATGAGGTCCGATCGACGCTGATTGGATATTGAGAGGCAGGAAGTAACGTGGCCATAGAAAGGGGACCGTAAATAGTATAAGTGGGTACCAGTATATATACGGAATCATTTTAAAGCGTATTTGCCGCCGATCATCGACGTGTGACTAGTTGGTCCACAGTGAGTGGAGGCATTGTTCCATGGCCGGCCCGGGGTTCCAATGCATTCGGAAGGTCGTCATCTCTCCCTCGAAATGTGCAAAATACCTTGCACGCCTGGAGACTTGGTCCGAGGATGGGCTCGTCACCCGTGCAGACTGTGAATCCGTTATCGGCTGTCTCCAACACTGTTGCCTTGTCCTCCGTGAAGGTTGCGCCTTCTTGCCTTCATTCTATCGCCTTCAGCTTCATTCAAGTCATCTTCACCTCAATCCAAACACCGCATCCCATCCAAAGTTTCATCGGATGTTGTCTGGTGTCGTTTCCAGCTCAGCGCAGTCGAATGTGCTGGGGTTCACCATCCCGTGCCCCCTCCCCTTCCTTTACAGGTCTTTATGGATGCCTCAACTTCCTTTGGCATTGGCTTCTTAGCCGATGGCTGCTGGCTCGGTTGGCGCTTGCTCCCAGGGTGGAAGTTAGATGGACGCGACATCGGGCGGGCAGAAATGGTGGCCGTTGACCTCGGTCTTCGCGCTCTGATTCATTTCGGCCTTCGCGATGCCCATATCTGCTTCTGCTCTGACAATCAGGGAGTGGAAGGTGCCATCAGAGCCGGTCGCTCTCGTAGCCCTGCACAGAATGATATTCTACGCAGTCTGTTGGCATTCACTCATAACCACGGTATATGGTTTTCTGTCAAGTGGGTCAAATCGGCAGATAACTTATCCTTATCAGACGGTATCTCGAGGGGTACCTTTCCCCACCCCAAATTGCGTTTTAGTCACCATCCGCCCATTCCTGCCTATCTTAAGCCCTTTGTAAAGCTCGTTTAGGGTGCTTTGCATCTCGTGTCATGGCTCTCGTTCAGCGCTGTTGTTTTCATTTCTTCAAACGTTTCTTGCAGTCAGTTCTCGTAACACTTTGTATTTCTCATCGCTCTCGGATCTACCGTGGCACTCGTATTTCGCCCTGCACTCATGTCTTGGCCCATCGCTTGGCCTTTGGGCCCTTGTATTTGAATGTCAGTTGTGTCATGCAATATTTTAATTCTCTCCTTCACTCCGTTCTCTTTCAGGGCCTCCCGTTGAGATGTTGAACGTGCTAGATCGTCATATTTAAAGAAAGTCTGACTGAGAATGTTGTTTTCGAAGATCACCAGCTGATCATGATGGATCCGCGATTTTCACTACAGCGACGGCCAGAATTCAACATATAGATAGGAGGGTACAATCTGTTCTGTCGTTCGAAAAGCTGAATTCGAGCTACTAGCTAGTAAGTACCTTATACCGAGCTTGAGAAAACTTTGAACGTAGAAGATGGGGGGAAATGACTTCATACCTCAATAAATGCTGAGAAAAGTAGCTCCTGTCACGTCACCCGTCTAAAACCCTGTGACATCCCACCATTCGCTGTTCAAAACGTTCACTATTATCATGATACACCCAGGCAGTGTTTCTGAAACTTCTTTCAGAGACGTATCAAAACATCCTCGCATGCTCTTGCGCACATATTCTCCGGAACTACCGACACATCATTATTCCTGATAGGCTCACCATTTATTTCTCATTTTTAAAATCATTCATACGGCCGTTCGGTCGTGGTGTTGCTCGACGGTCTATGATAGAATTATTACAAATCTCTGTCGGAAATCTCCAAATCGTATCATGACGACCATCATGGGCGTTAACTATTAGGTTCGAACGTTCTCCTGCCGCTGGGCAATATTAGATTCGCAATCATATCACAAGGCTTCGCAGGCTTGCTTCGTACTAGTACATAGGTCACAAGTCTAGGATTGATCATATACAGCCATATTGCAGCACACGGTGGGCGCAAACAGTGATCGTCGCACCCCTTTATCGGGTGAGCTCTTCGAGTCTTATCTATCGAGTGCTCTCTTACTTTCTCTTCCCACAAATCACTCCTGCAACTCACAATGTCTACCTTGCGAAATGCGCCAGCTGGTACACGTCGGGCATACCCCTTTCGCCCCAGGGTAACAGAGTCCTCACAACCTGACACCTCCTTCATCCTCAAAGATCTTGCAGACAAGGTAGCCAAGTTCAAACGGAGCACGGATACTCTTAGTCCTGTAGAAATTACAAATGTCAAACCAATTGCTTCATACTCATGGATCGAGGCTGCAACGCCAACGATCGCCGTCCCTGGTAAGCATATAGTCCATGTCTGAGTAAGATCAGGTTGATCAACGTCCTTCTGATGTCATATAGGTTCTCCCAGAGTCTGGTTCACAGGCCCCCAGCGTGTCCCGGCTGACTCTGGAACACGCTTTGTGGACCAAAATGCTTTCTACATGCGAAAAATGTCCCCCCTCATCCCGCTATTCGCAGCCATCGATGATATGAATCCTAGTTTCTACTACAAGCAGTTTGACTTCATCACGGACCGCAACAACCTTCGCAAGCTTCTCCGCTGGGCCAGTGGCTCATCGGATGAGAAAGACTTCCGCATCGATATCGATGTAGCGGGCTCGACGTGCTTGTTCACACGCCTTGAGGCACAGAACACGGACACCGTGCAAGGCTTTATGGGGTATGGACATGAGTATGAAAAAGCTGCCACGAGAGTCACTCGCGGCTGCGAGAGAGCCACTGGACATCATCGGATGATTTCCATCGTAAGACTCTTGCATCCTCAGTCGGGTCACTCGCAACATAATGTATTTGACAGGACATTGGTGAACTGAAGATTCTCCTTCGTTTCACAATTGAGGCGTGCACATCTTCTACCAATGACACGAACGACGAGGACGACCTCCTAGCAGCCTTCTCAGGCCTGGGTATTGGCAGAGCGTCTGCCTCCAGCAGCCGGGATACTAAGAAGCCTCAAGCCACGGTCCCAACCGTCCGTGGCGTTTCCATCACCCAAACAACTCCACGCAAAGTCGTCCCGCAATCCTCTCTCATTGAGCTCAAGACACGCGCTGCCCACCGAGAGCTCGACTGGGCAGAAATTTATCCTCAGCTTTATCTTTCTCAGACAGCATTCTTGTATATCGCGAAGCACGAACGCGGTAACTTCAACACCCTGGAGAAAGTACAGCTTGGCTCGGCGAGCATGCAGACCCATGCCCGACGTGCTGAGCAGGGTGTCGCGAAGTTGAAACTCGTGCTTCAGGATATCTTAGATGCTGCGAAAAAGGAAGATGTGGGGGTAGGCTTGAGTTTGGTGTCAAAGGATGGCAAGTTGGCATTGTACAAGCGCCTTGAGGGGACTGGGAAAGGGCCGGGAAAAGATATCACAGACAAATTCAATTGATGTGGGATTACTATCCTGGTAAGTAAGGGACGCTTTGACAACTCGTTGTGTAGGATATGGCTGGAGCGATATTTTTGTATTCTGATCGAATTTGAAAGACGTACTTCTTGCTGCACACGTTGCACACAGGATTGATGCAACGTCGGTAATTCGTGAGACCGACAGCTCGTCCATGCAAGCGTTCAGTGTAGGACCTCAAACAAGATTCATCAGTAAAGTCCAATTTTCTCACAGAGGTCACAAACTTCGGGTCTTGTGACAGCAAATCACAGAGCCCCACAGTTTGCGCAGGTTCACAACACACAGTGATACAGCGACTCCAGTCCAAATCCACCCACAGACTCGGATTTCAATGTATGGTACTATAGTAGTATGGCCTTGCAAAAATTCACAAGTCTCACACACTAGTACCAAGCACAGTGTATCAATAGTATACTTGTACTGGTGCAAAAGTGGCAATACAAATTTTCAGCTTAAGTTCGAGTTTGGCTTGGCAATATACACTCGGTTTGAATGAGACAAATTGGCATACAACACATAACATGGTAGTTACGAAGACAGGACAGCATAAAACAACTATTAAACACTAAAAAATAAATCAGTCAAGCTGAATCATGGGGGTCCTGCCATGCGAGATATCCAATGTTGTTCCTGTAAAGAGTTAGAAACTGATATGAGCACAGAGTGCATCACACCCACCACACGAATGTGATCCACCTTGTCTAGCGAGACAACTAGGAGGGACAGACCAACCGTGCATATTGCAAATAACCCTCATACATCCCAGGCCAAGGTCTGTGTCATCTAGTCTCTTCTCAGTGGCTTCCACTCAGAATTTCAGCAGGCTTGCAAACACCTCGTTTTCCTGCATTACACAATCTGCGAGTGCCTTCTGAGCCTGGTAAACATCATGCTTGGCTCTCACGAGATTCATCATGATTCTCGCCTTGGATTCAGTGGGTTCCTGGTCAGACTATGTTGAAATGTAAGTTGTATGATAATGATGGACAACATGAATAATGTTACGCTCGGTGTTCGTGAGAACGACTAAACAGTCACAAAGAGTCTAAAGCGTACACCTATGTACAAGTCGTGCAAGTTAAGCAGTATATTGCAGGCCCTGGTCTGCGTAGGTCAAGTTAAAGAATACAAGCATAAGAGATAGAGTATATATAAGGAGATTAAAGCGGAGCTTTAATAAATGAATCAGAGATAGAAAGTAAATAGCAAATCAGAAAAGAGAAAGAGAATCGTACGATAGAATGTTATAGAATGTCTGAGAATGATTAGTAATCGTGAGTAAGTGAAGAGGTGAAAGGAAAAGAATAGAACTGTAACATTACCCCCATTGTAAGGGTAGTAGACACTGGCTACTATTTAAAGAAGATGATGTGATCGTTTATAATTAGTAAGAAGTTCGGAAGCATTACCTAGTTCGGCTTCCTTCATCCATTCGTTCTCGGAACTCGGGAATCCCTTCCATTTTACATAATATTGTCGTCTAGATGAAGATCCACAGTGTCCGATGACTGCTTCAACTTCATGTTCTTCTTCGCCGTTGACTAAGTCAGGAGGAGGCGGGATATAATTAGGGCCATGGGTATCGTTCTCTTTATAGGGAGAAAGGAATGCAGCATGGAATACGGGGTGGATGCGCCATTGGGACGGTAGCGCGAGTTGATAGGTTATGGGGGATAATACGTCGGTGATAGTGAATGGTCCTTCGCGTTTAGGAGCGAGTTTCCGATTAGGGTATCCAAGATGTAGGTTTTTGGCTTCTAGCCATACCTTATCGCCTTTAGAGAATGGTACGAATTTAGACGTGATTCGTTGACGCATGGTGTTATGTGTGAGTTCGTGAGTGGCTAGCGCTTCGTCGCGTGCTTTGTTAAGCAAAGATAGTCGTTGTTCAATATTAGGGATGTCGGATTTCGGATGGAGATCAGGAAGATGATGTGGGTGATAACCCATCATAAGGTAAAACAGGGAAGTGCCATGTGCTGAATGGTGGCGCGAATTATGAACGAATTCAGCTAATGGCAACATGGGCGCCCAACCGGTTTGGTCGTTAGCGCAGAAGATCCGGAGGTAGACTTCGAGTTCTTGATTAACTCGTTCGGTCTCTCCATCACTCTGAGGGTGGAATGCGGTGGAAAGGGAGTTCTTGTATCCGAGGAGTTTTCCGAGTTCGACCTGGAATCTGGAAGCGAACTGAGGTCCGCGGTCAGAGATAATTTTATCGTAGAGTCCGTATCTAGAGAAAACTTTAGAGAAGAAAATGTTCGCAACGCCTTCAGTGTCTATAGTCTTGAGACAAGGGGTGAAAATTACCCCCTTCGAAAGTCCGTGGTCGACCACGACCATGATAGAGTCGAAACCGTCCGAAAGAGGGAGGTCCGTGATTAAGTCTACCGAGCAATGAGTGAAGGGTTGGTTAGATATAGGGGCAGGAATAGGATGGAGGGGTGGAGTAGAAGGGTGTGTGTTTACTTTATTCTGTTGGCAGATGCAACAGCCTTCTATGAAGTTCTTGACGAATGTGGCTAGGCCTGGC